TAGCAGAAATAGAGTGAAATAACTCAATAATAAGGCCCCGCAAATTTCATTCCAATCATTTCACCAAACCATAAGCCTATAAAACTAGCTCATATACATAATAGAGTATAAATTATACCTATACGCCTATGGTCAAATGCAAAATTTCAACAATTTATGTTAGAATCATAAGACGATCTAACAACAATCTCTACATAGTGGGAAAACATTCAGTCTAAAATAACTTAATCTTGCTTATTCTTAGGAAGAAAGTTGGCTTTCATTTGTTAAAAAATTAATTGGCAGTAATGGCATCAATTCCTTCAACTTTATAACCTCAACGAATGACTAAGATGAAGTTCATATATAACAATCCTTGCTCACCCCTAGTTAGACTTATAACACACACAAAAAACTAGTAAAGAAAAATAAGTAAATCTAGAGCATTCAAACCTTAAAGAACTAGGTCAAAACCCACTCTTATTTAGCCTCCATCATGATACTCTTGATCTACATCTTCATTTAAATAAACTTCTAGCAAAAAATAAATTGATATAAATACACACGAAAATAATAATAGACCATGTAAAAATGCAACCACGAATCTGTAGCGCATAGAACATGAATAGGGTAGGAACCTATCTCTCAAACTTAGATGTAGAGATACTGAGGACATAAACTATTCACTACTCAATATATCAAAGTAACAAGCTAAAGCAGCCCTAGTGGCCAAACATCTCACATTGCAGAGTCCAATGACACCCAAAGTCATAATTCCGTTGCAATCAACAACATCACGATTTGCACGACAGGATCGGGAGGTGCGATCGCACAAATATCTGTGCAGACAATTGCCCAACAAGTGGCCAATCAGTAGTCTCTGTTTGTTTAACCTAATCCGCCATGCTGATTATGATTAAGCTCATTGAGTGAACACTATACTCACTTTATACTTACAGAATAAACCTCATCCGCGCTATTCGCCTGTCTCCTTTATGGCAGGGCTATAGCTTAGCCAGTTCCAGGAGTCTAACTAGATGTAGGATAATCTACCAAACGGATTTCTGAGAAAGTGAGGCTTTACTAGTGTAGCAATCCTCTACAAATTCGTGAAACTGGCGTGATTTGCTCATTCAAAGCATATTGGCTCACTCGGCATTCTTGCAAGGAACTGCCCTGCTTCATACTTCACATCTCCCTCAAACCTGTCACTTCCAAGGAGACACTTACAATCATTCTTTGCCGCCGTCGTAACCCTTGGTTCATCCATCAGCGCAACTGTGCGACTGAGCAAGTTGTCGAAATGAAAGGCTGTCTGATCACCACGACGACACACCGTTCCAATCAAAGGATGCGAGGTTATGAGACTGGCCAGCAGTGCTTCACCAGTGTTGGTCTGGTTTCGGAATCACAGTGTATTGATTTTGGTTGTTTTCTTTTGTCCATGATTTGTACAATGTCGCCTAGAAGGGAGCCAATATCAACGATATTTGCACTGAGGATCGCTATCAACCAGCTAGCACCCAACCCAATATCTTCACGATGCTTCACATGGCAATAATGTTGCAATTTACTGAGGTTTCGCAAGTAGGCATTAGTCTTCTCCTTTGCCAATCGCTCATTATTCAATGCCCGTATCTGCTGCCTAGCAACCTCACCCCATTGAACACCGATTGATGAATTCACGAAGGTGGTTTCTTAAGCATTGAATTTATGAGAAACCTCGTCAAGGGTTCTTACATTGCGAATGCGTAGTTCTTCCAGGAGATTGAAGTACTTCTGCTTTCTATGCTAACCCTTCCACTTTCTTGAGGTTCGAATTCGTTTACGCCTATTGTCCGGCGAACATGACGAAGTCCACTCTCCAACTCCGACAATCCCGTCTCAGCAGTTTTATTACCTGTCCCACCTCTACCCAAAACTCTGTTACACTAAGGCCGAAGGTCTATCTTCCCCTCTCAACTGGTTGATATTGTACATTAACCTTTATTTTCAGCTAACTACGAACGCTCTGGAGGGGCGGGGAGCATTGTGGGACACGTCATCGCATGCGTGCGCGCCAGGATCGGGAGTTGCGGCCGTACAACTCTCTGTGCAGACAATCGCACAACAAGTGGCCGATCAGAAGCCTCTGGTTGTTAAACCTAATCCGCCATGCTGATTATGATTAAGCTCCCTGAGTGTACATTACACCCACGTTATACTTACTGAATAAACTTGTTCCGCGCTATGCGTCTACTTCCTCTATCGCTGGGCTATATCTTAGCTAGTTCTGGGAGTCTAGTTAGATGTTAGAGAGTCTGCCACAGAGATTTCTGAGTCAGTGAGGCTTTACTAGTGTAGCAATACGCTACAGGTTTCTGTACAAATTGTTCGTTTATTAATATATTGAGCTATAATTCTCGCGTATTTGTATTTATAGTTTTTGTTTTGTACATATATTGCAATTTTAGCTTAAATAGAATCCTAGTTTGTCTTTTTCTAGTTGGTGCTAATGGGAATTTCGGTTTCATATCTGGTTTATTATTTTTTTATCGAGTCTTTTGTATTCTAGCTTTTTGAACGTAGAATTCAATAAGGAGTACAATGGAATATTTTTGCTTGCAAATGCATTGTTATTTGTAAATTTTCCTAATTAGGTTGTTTGCGTTTTTAATGTGAGCTCGGACAACTTTACGTTATGATTATTTTTTACCCATAACTAATAATAAAACTAATAATGTTCCTATATGGATTAAAGTGCAAATCATGGTGTTGTTTACTGCAAAATAATTATGACTTTGGGAGGCATTGGTCTCTGTAAAATGAGAAGTTTGGCCAATAGGGCTGCTTTAGCAGGTTTGTGGGACACGTTATTGCTTTGTGCGTCATCGCATGTCCGCACACCAGGATTGGGAGGTGCGGCCGTACAACACTGTGTACAGCGAACGTACAAACAGTGACCAATCATTAACCTGAGTTTGTTTAAACCTAATCCTTCCGTCCTATGCTCATAACCGGCGTGTCACATCCCGAATAAACGTGTTCCTCATCACCCGCCTCTTTCCTGTATAGCTTGGTGATAGCTTAGCTATTAGGTGGGCAACTAAGTCATTGCCGATTTCAAATAAGAAGGCAAATTCGGAATTTTTGTTTAAAAATATAACTTTATTCAATTAGATATTGGCCGTTCTTGTCGATGACCTTTTTCCATCGTTCTGGCAGAGTAAAAATTCCCCGTTCGTAAAATGTCTGATCTTTGCTATTAAAAAACTGAATTAGGTGTGATTTAGTAAGTAGTATCTAAATTTAAGAGTTGGGTTCTTACGATTTTTTACTGTAATTTTACATGGATTATTATTTTTGCGTGTTTATTTACAGTAATTTATTTTTACTGGAAGTGTATTTACATGGAGAGGGGTGCTCAACCCTTGCTGGTTTTCTAAACAATTATTCTTAAGAATACGATAGACTTACCTCCACGTGGTGCACCCTGGACAACGTACACGTGGTGCACCCTGGACAACGTATCTTTGTACGGCAAAATGGTGGGTGCACCCTGGACAACGTATTTTCTTACGGCAAAAAAGTATATCACTCGAGGTGCACCCTGGACAACGTATTTTCTTACGGCAAAAAGTCAATGTGCACCCTGGACAACGTATCTTCGTACGGCAAAAAGTCTGCCACTCGGCATTTGATTTGATTTGACTTCGATTTATTATGATTAGCTTTAAAAAAGGCTATTAGAGAAATTGCCTACGTCAGGGCGAATCACAACGTCTTCAGATTCTCCAGTGGAATGCTGGAGGGATGTCACAAAACAAAAAGATCCAAGTATAGAAAATCCTACAAACCTATGATGTAGACATTTTCACAATTATGGAAGCAAACATTTCGGATGACAAACTGAAGTACTACCAATTCCCAGGTTACATCCTGTACCTTCTACCTAAATACCGGCAAGTTGCAAGTGAAATTCTAACTGGAGTAAAAGAAGGCCTCACCTCACACTACGATCTAATCAAGAGTATGGGCGCGACACAAGACATAAGTGAAATAAACAGATTAAATGTTTGGAAATGTCAAAACCACTTCAAGGTATATGCAGTCTATAATCCACCCCAGAATTGTCCCAACTTTGACTTTCTGAACATCTCACACAAATTTATAGTATTAGGAGACTTCAACGCCCATTCCACCAGATGGGGCTACAAGAACACAAACATAGGTGGAAAGGAAACTGAAGACATGCTAAACAACAGCCCTTAGGAACTTATTTTCAGCAATGAGGATCCGGCTACATATTTGCACTACAATGGAACCAGAANCAGGAGAGGACAGAAAGTGCTCTTAATAGTGCACTTAAACAACTAGCAAACTGGTGCGACAATAATGGAATGGTAATTAACACCGCAAAAACTGCATTCCAAACTTTTTCTTTGGCCCATCACAGCATAAACCCGCTTCTAAGGTACAAGGATACTACCATAGAAAAAACAATGAGTTCACATATCTCGGAATGACTTTTAACACAAAGTTAACGTGGAAAAGTCACATTGCTAAAATAGCAGAACGAGTCTCCAATAGACTGAATGTACTTAAGCGTCTTGCTGGTAGCCTATGGGGCTGTGCACGCTCAACTCTCAACACCACTTACAAGATGTTTATTCAGCCAATAATGTTGTGTTACTACGAGCCACTCACCACAGCCACAGGGGTGACTCTCAAACCACTCGAGAAGGCACACAACCAAGCATTACGACTAATTACTGGAGGGATAAAATCAACACCCATCGAAGCAATGCTCCAAGTTACAGGAAGCGCCACAATATGTTCCCTTATTAAAGCAAAGGCCTTGATCCTGTATGAGAAGCTACTGCGCATTCCCATGGATAAGTTCTTCAGCACCTATGAGAATAGACCAAGACATCTGAAAACGCAATCTGGTCTAATACAGAAAGCCATAGAAATGAAGAAAGAATTACAAATCGATGAAAAACCAAAAAGTCTCTCTCTCCCTATGAACCCATTGGCAGACACTGATGTAATGTGTTGCACCCAACTGCTTGACTCCTTCAGGAAATCAAACACCCCACCAGAGCAAATGCGCTCAATGGCCCTTGAGACAATCAACGTCAACTATCCTGGAGATCAATGGCTCCAAGTCTTCACTGATGGGTCATGCATAGAAAACCAAGCAAACATTGATGCAGGTGTCTATTATGAACTCTTCTCTTTCTACGCAGCAGCGGGACACAATAGATCTGCTTTTGAAGGAGAAATAGAGGTCATTAGGATAGCACTATGCCAATTATGTTGTCTGGATACGAAATTCACCAAAGTGGTGATACTTTCGGACTCACAGTCAGCAATAAACTCAATTGGAAGTGGAGAGCCACCCAAAACAGCTGAGATATAGGAATGTAGAAAACTCTATGAGCTGTTGAGAGAAAAACAAAGTAGTGGTCCTACAATGGATTCATGGTCACTGTGGCATTAAAGGCTATGAGATTGCTGACGCACTTGCTAAGAAGGGTACAACAATTTTGTAAGGCATAGATTGGCCGATGTCTTTCCACACAAAGAAGACCTTAATCAGGAGAGAACTCAAGACCTCAAGATGCAACAAACTTAAAGCTCGAACAAAGAAGAAACAGTGGACAGTGGCGCTAGAAGCTCGAACAAAGGAGAAACAGTGGACAGTGGCACTCTCAACATACCCGACTGGCCAAGAATCGAAGCCGTTGCTGAGTCTTACCTCGAACAAAGAAGAAACAGTGGACAGTGGCACTCTCCGATACAGCCGACTGGCCAAGAATCGAAGCCGTTGCTGTGTTTAGACTAAGTACCAGACATGAGTGCCTGGCAAATCACCTTCACAGATTGGGAGTATACACTCCTGGCGAAGCACCTTCACAGATTAGGAGTATACAATCAAAACACCTTCACAGATTGAGAGTATACACTCAACCCACATATACTCTATGTAACCTACAGGAGGAAATGGAGAAGTCCCACCTGTCTATGTGACCTACAGGAGGAAACGGAGAAGACCCACCATATGTAACCTACATGAGGAAATGGAGAAGACCCATCTGATCTGTAACCTACAGGAGGAAATGGAGAAGACCCACCTGATTCGGTGTCCAGCATTAAAGACAAGGACGGAAAGCCAGAGACACTGGGAAGCCAGAAGACCGCTAACGAACTGTTATTAATTATCTACTATATATGTACCCCCATCTATGGGGAAAGCTGAAGTGAAAGTTTAAGGGCGAATGATAAATATCATAAAGCCTGCCATTTGAAATAATAATAAGAAGTAATAGTTGAGTAAATTATTTAGTCTCAGTATAGAGAATACAAGCATATTCACCAATGTAGCATTAATATCCAATTCTGGGACAAAATGTGCAAATTTGAGTTCTTAAGAAATGAACAATCGAAGAGGTTAAAAATCACTCCGTAGGATTCCATGGTGGAAATGAGTTGGATTTCTTTTGCTAAAATGACTTGAGTCTCTTCATCCTTCTCACGCCACCTCCTTCTATTGCCCGACTTTCATTGCTACTCCAGAAAAAAGGCGTGACAATAGAAGGATGAAAATGGGAGAAAAATTCGCCAACCTACTTCCATGTAGATCTCACTTAAGTTAAGAGAGCAGCTCACTAGTCTCTAGTTATATTTGAACTTATTTCCTGATGGTCGCAATAATGGTAATTTGCAAGTATTCAATTGACTTTGCCAATAAATTGAATATATATCTATCTATATATATATATCTATATATATATATCTATATATCTATATAATTGCTATGGCCGAAAGAAAAAATGACATTTTGCAAAGAAATTTCTACAAAAATATTTGAGGAAAAATTAGCGAATTCGATTAAAGTAAAATATTTTTTACAGAGAGGAATTGAGGCGTGTGCGATAGACTTACCTTCATGTAATGCACCCTGGGTAGCGTTTACCCGTATGCAACATGTCTATAAACCGACAGTTGACGTCTGACTTCAAGCTACCATGACTCGACTGTAAATCGCATTCGACTCCTTCCCTATACTCACCTTACCTTTTTCTCCACCTACGTGTCTGTCTCTTTTACATCCGTGAATCACTCTTGTGTCATCCCCCCCCCTCCCTCTCAACCTTTTGTGACCTTGTCTGTTCCTCCTCCCAGTGAAGCCCGAAGTCAACTAGGGGGCTAATGATAGCTACCATAAAGCCTGCCAATTGATAGAAACAAATGACTGAAGGGATACAATATCCGAAACTAAAGTGCTGACCCTTAAAATCCACCTAAATTGACATAAACCAGTTTATATCGAAATCAGGAACAGGAGCAAGCTATTGTGGTTCTCATTATACCAATAAATTCCCCTCTTAGTGAAAGCTGTCTTATGGTCGAACGTCTACGATTATCGTGCCGGATTATAGACAAAGCGAACAATGGTGGCAGTTATTGCTGCTCGAATGTATAGACAGCCTGGTGCTGTTGATAAACTGCGAAAACTGCGGGTCATAGGAAGCAGAGAGTGAGAAGAAGCGCGGTCGCTTATTCCAACGCCCACGATTAGAGGTCAAAATGGCCTTGGGAAGTAAAATTATTGCAGTGAGTCTAGTGAACGGGATCCTGTTTCTCGTTGGTCAATAAGTAGGGTTCTAAAGAAGTGTAATTATGCGCTGATTTATAACCAACTGAATAGTGAAGTATCAGCAGCTCAAACAAAGTAAGTACACAAAAACGCTCCCACCGAGTACTAAGTACATAAATGCGAGATCTGTTATCTTGAAATAGAAATAAGAGAACCTTATAGTTATGGCATTAATTAATTACTTATCGCTTAATTGCTGGAAACATCAGAACAAGCGTACAACACATATTGGGCTCAACGAAGTTACAATGATGTGGTATCTCGTTCCTAAAGGTAGGTTGTGGCCCTAATTACCACAATTCCTAGTGCAATTTGCTCAACAGGCATTGGCGAAATGAATGACTCTCTCTTCTGAATAAATTTTAGCTACTTCAAATAATCTTTGAGGGATTTCACTCACGTGCACGTGTGTGTGACAACTTTATGTCTAATGATTGAA